GTCAGAACTAGACATCTATGGTGGAGAAATTCAAGTTAGTTGATTTAAGTCCTTAATATAACACCCAAAACGAAATATTAAGGCTAGGACCCAACGCAATATTCTACAATTGCAAAAAGGGATGTTGTAATCCAATTGTAGAATATTTGAAGGTAGGTAAATGACGAATTACCAATTTCCACCATGAAAAACGAAATAGATTATTAAGTTTTAATTGGATTTGAAATTCCTAAATCCTTTGAGATTCATTGAGCTTTTCAATGACATGTTTAAATCTCGATTGTGCCCTTCAAGTTTATGTCTGGGATGCCGAGGATCACAAACAAGGTGTGAATAACCATGCAAATTAGCTTGGTACACCCAATGTTACAAATCACCTAATCAATGTGCCGGTTAACCACACACGCTCCATTGATCTATGATTAACATCAAGTTACCCTTTTCCACACATTGTCAGTCCCAAATTAGTGAGCCGGTTAACCACACACGCTCCACTAACGACTTAACAAGGTACAAAGTGCAATTTCATGGGTTAGCACCAAATTCACATTTTTCCTAAGTAACTAAGATTGGGAATTTAATAAAAGTTTAGTTATTTTATATTTATCATTATACTTTTAATGAGGGAGAATTAATGTCCTATCCTACCCGTTCGGATAACGACCCTCCACCAGTCAAGGAAGTGGTGTGTGAGAATGGACACCCATTAAACTGTCATTTTATAGGCAGTAACCTTATACCCCCCTTATAGACCGGCTTCGTGAATGAGGTCTACTAACGGTAAGACTGACTTCTCTTATACATATATATATATATATATATATATATATATATATATATATATATATATATATATATATTAAACTTATAATAATATAATAGTATAAAGGTTGAATTTTAACTTTTAAAACTCTAGGGTTTGGAATTAAAGTATTCAAAAGTGAGACTTTACAAATATCAAAACTTGAGGGCAAGTTTTGAAACTTGTCAAAACTTTTGGTTTCCATAACTTATGAGTTTAATGTGGTTTTTATGAATAACTTTTCATGTTCCATAACTTGAGGACAAGTTATGGAAGACTTTAAAACCATTTAAAATGACTCTTAAAAACGAGACCTTTCATTTTCCATAACCTATGAGTTTTAATAACTTTTTAAAGAAAAACTTTTCACTTTCCATAACTTGAGGACAAGTTATGGATTTCATTAAGGCAATTAGATCATTATTTTTAACTAACAAAAATTATCAAATAATTTATTCATGATCTAACTAAACTCATAAGAACAAGATAATTCATATCATCAATCTTCAAGAAATTAGCCTAATCATATAAACTAATACAACGCTTGAAATTATGACAATTATCTTTAAATTGGACAAGCATGATCATTACCTTATGAAAAAACAGATTTCATGGTTCAAAAAAACAGTTTGGGGGTAATGATCCTAATCTAATTTCTGGCCAAAACTCGAAATTATGCACCCTGGAGCACCTACTCGACGAGTTCATGAACTGGACTCGCCGAGTTCATGCTTTACTGAGTGGACTCGTCGAGTCTGTTCATGGACTCGGCGAGTTCATCAGACAGAATGCAGAAAATTGATTTTTCCAGCTTTGAAAATTAAGCAAGCATCAAATATAATAGAAAACAACCTATGTCTTTGATACCACTGTTGGGTTTTCGTATACTACAACATCCTATGGTGCACATATAACCCTAAATGCATTGGATCTATGTTTTCTCTAATTATACATGCAATATTGTTTCCAAAGCATTAAGCCTACAACTAGCATACAATTTGACACATAAATCATAAAAGTAAGTTAGAAGATTACCTCTTTGTTGTAGCTTGTAGACATTGGCCTTTTAAGAGCTTAGCACCCCAAGTGTTGTGCCTCAAACAAGTCACAAACATCATGAACAATTGGAGAATATTGAGAGAGAAGTTATAAAGCACAAAAATCGGCTCAATGAACTCTTAGAACCCTAGGGTGCCGATTTGGTGATTTAGGGACTCCTTTTATAGTGTGGCATAACTAGGGTTACAACCATGCAAACCCTAATGCTCCATAACCTTTCATATTACTTAGGCTCCATGAGTTAAACCTCCATGGACCACCATATTGGTTTAGCCCATCCTAAATAACAATTGGCTCACACTATAAGAATCATTGATTTACCAAATCAATTCTCATATATTTAATTAGTTTCTTTTGATCACTAAATTAATTCCAAATTAATTCTTGATCAATACTAATTAAATAATATGATTCCTAAATTAATATATTATACTTATAATATATTAATAAATCACAAATAACTTCTTACTCAAATATTCATCCTATCAAAATTGTCCTGATGAAGGCAACCCGAAATGGACCATGCTACTCTCGGGTCAAGTACATACCAATTATAATTATGGGCTTAGACACCTAATTCAACAGTCTTCCACTTGGATAAGTCTAATAACTATTATTGCAAGTACGACTCCAAAACCCGACAAACAATCGTAGTTCTCAAAAGCCTCTGTCGAACTCTAAACAAATCAAATGACGCGTCCATTAGATAAGGGATCATATATATTCCTCCATTCTATATATCGTATGAACTGAGACATGGATTATAATCATTCTCTCTGTTCATGTGTTGTTTTCCGATTTCCGATTTATGACGACTGACTAATTGAACAAATCAAATCAGTCCAGAGAACAGTCTCGATTAATGCCTTGAATCACCTAACAATTGTCCCATTCATAAAATTGTAACTTCGCTGCGAAAATATGTGATCCAAATGATTAATGCCCTGAATCACCTAACAAGCATGCAAGAAATGCATCACATTTCCTTGCTTGTTGGCACTTATAACAACATGATTAGACTTGGCAAGATTGCTCATCCAATCAAGGATATTTATTAGTTGTTGGTTTATTGACAGAAAAATGTGTTTATAAAAGTAAATTTGTATTCAGTATAAACAAAAGGTACCAAGATTTTCAATTTTTTTTTATAAATTAACACCAAAATATATGCTCATAAATAAAAACCTGAAACAGTTGCCCAAAAGAGGAGAAAAAAAAAATCTTCGAACTAGTTAAGCACTACTGTCGATTTTTATGAGACTCGTTGAACTTCATTCCATTTTGAACAATCATAGATTTCTTAATATTTTTACCAAATAATAAAATATGGATGTCTATTTTTAATCCATGGATTTTTTTACAAGAGCGTATTCCTAAGGTTTTATAATTAATATTGATTATTTGTAATGGTTCTTTAACACCTTGGTTTTATAATTAATACTGATTATTTGTAACGTTTCTTTAACACCTTGACCGTGTAATAAAACTTCGGTCTTTTTTCAATCTAACATATTTCAGTATTTTTTAATCTTTTTAGCAAATACAATAATTTAAAAAGTAACCCATTTAATTTCATAAAGAACCAATCACGATCCAAATTTGACAGTATTTGTGACTTTTTCAGATAACGTAAAATATATATATATATATATATATATATATATATATATATATATATATATATATATATATATATATATATATGAAAAGGTTATTTGGAAAACAAAAAAACCCTAAAAAAACCCTAAAAATCATAAAAATGCATAAAAAAATACTTAGAGATCACAAAACTTTTTTTTGAAAATTTTTTTGAAAAAATCACAGCTTTTTATACAAAATCGTTGAAAAAAATTTTGAAAAAATTTTTTTTTTTTAACAAAAAAAAATTGATTTTTTTGTTTTTTTTTCAGCGATTTTTTATAAAAAAATTCAAAAATATTTTTTGTGATCTCTAAGTATTTTTTTTGCATTTTTATGATTTTTAGGGTTTTTTTTGTTTTCCATAGAACCTAAACCTATATATATATATATATATATATATATATATATATATATATATATATATATATATATATATATATATATATATATATATGTTTACGTTCTATGGAAAACAAAAAACCCTAAAAATCATAAAAATGCATAAAAAAAATACTTAGAGATCACAAAACTTTTTTTTGAATTTTTTTTTATAAAAAATCGCAGCTTTTTCTTAAAATTCGCTGAAAAATAAAATAAAAAATCATTATTTTTTTTATAAAAAAAAAATTTCAAAATTTTTTTCAGCGAATTTGTATAGAAAGCTGCGATTTTTTCAAAAAAAAAATTCAAAAAAAAGTTTTGTGATCTCTAAATATTTATTTTTATGCATTTTTATGATTTTTAGGGTTTTTTTGTTTTCCAAATAACTTTTCCCTATATATATATATATATATATATATATATATATATATATATATATATAGGTTCCGTTGAGATTAAAAATAAAATAAAGATCTTGAGATTCAACCTCAGCCACGTATTTCACATCTGCCGCTCTAACCCTCGGGCGTACCGGCACGGCAGGCCTGGTATAATCATACAGTGCCGCCCGTTCCTTTCTCCCCCGTCACCATCCCCACCAACATAACCGACATCGCCACCACCACTACCACCACCTCTGACACCAGTCGACCCCACCACAATCACCTCCGTTGCTTATACCACTGTCACATTTGTCACCACCACCTCTTTTGCCACCAACTGTCATAATCATTTATGATTACTCAATCTGTGTACATATATGTATAATCATTTATGATTAGGCATATACATATAAATATGTATAATCCTATGTGATTATACCTCTCTGCCATATAATCATTTATGATTAGGCATACACTGTTGTTGCCAGTACGTTGGAGCACTAGAGCGGCAAATGAGAAATATGTGGCTGAGGTTGAATCTCAAGATCTCTACTTTTTTTTTTAATCTCAAGTGAACCCTCCGCTATATATATATATATATATATATAGATATATATATATATATATATATATATATATATATATATTTCTCGTAAGTAGCATTCTCAGTTTTTCAAATATAAGAACACGTTTATGATACTATGATACGAAAATTTCGAGAAATCAAACTTGATTCACTTCGACTGCTTACGATACTTCTTTTCTTCGTCAGACATAAACGAAGTCACCGGAAATGACTTTCCTACTCCAACCGAGGTCTTGAAGTAAATCTTGGAACTTTTTTCATTTTCCATTCTCATCTCAACAATAGGAACCCACATCATCATTTTTTTGATTTTAATCCCAGTCACTTTCGTCATCTTATATTTTTCAATATATGCAGTTATCTGTGTTGCATAGTTGGCATGTGTGTTAGTCCCCTCAAAAAAGTGTTCATATGGACCATTTTGCTTAATCCAAACAAAACCGCTATGGCGAACTCTCCCACACTCAACAAAATCTTTGAGTGGGAGAACGCCTTTTGGGAAACCGAGCTCTTCAAGGAGATCAATGGAATAGCGACGACACACTTCATCCCCATACATGATCTCGGCCCCGGCTCTCTCGTTTGCCATTGTTTTTCTTTTAAGTTGTATGAATGGATCTTTAAGTTAAATGTTTGGGTTTGAACCAATGTTGGGTTTTATAGACAAAAAGTTTTGATAGGTGTTGGAATGATCGTTCACCTAATTAAGTTATGGTATGTGGGTAGTTACCAACCTACATTTGTGGATTCAAACTCATGACATTAGATTATAGATTAAGAAGTAGGCTCGGATATGACTCAAAAAATGATAGGAACCACGAAGACAAATATTGGTCGTAAGATTTAAAAAAATGGACTACAGTTAATTTTATTAACCGTCAATATCTCGCGGTTTTATATAGCGTTTGGTAATTAATTACAAGATTTTATTAATTTTTAGCAAATGTTAAATAATTGGTGGATATAAAATAAAAAACAAAAAAAAAGTAAAAAGAAAAGAAAATTTAGAAATGTGTCCCACTCCATTGTGATATGTGTCCAAAGCGAGATCTATGGTGGGTTGGTATGTTTTTTTTCCATCCATTACGTTTTTCGACTATAACTTTTTTTTTTTGTTTAAAAAAAATTTGAAAAATACATTATTCTTAAAATTTTATTATCTACAAAATGAGCATAGCCATGAAAACTTAAAAAAATAAGTTTATAAAAAACACAAAAACAATTCTCTAAAAACTTAATGGACATTTCTACTCACTAGTCACTAAACTAAGTGTTCATACTATAATTTTAGAAAATATTAGATTTTATAAAATATAACAATATTTTTACTTCAAATTCAAAAAACAAAAATAAATGAATAAGTATTGGAGCAGGAAATGTTCTACAATGCTAAGTAAATTATGAGGTTAGAATATGTCACTATATGAAAAACATATTTCTTCCACTAGTATATAAAGTGGAGGTATATTATAACATTCCAAAAATCATGACCAAAAATTTCGTTTTAAACCATTAAATAAACCTGTAACATCCCAAAATCCAAGACCAAAAATTTCATTTTTAATTTAATAATTCATAAAACTGATTATTGAAAACATCATCAAGGTTATCTCATATTATAAAAACTCATAAGTCATATGTCTCAAAAACACGTCATAGGATAATAATGTCAGGGTACAAATCCCAAGAATCTCATAATGCGGAAAATCATGGTGTGAGGCGCTGCAGTCATGCCGACTCTTTTCCCTTCGAAGAAAAAGTACCTGAAACCAAAACTGTAAATCATAAGCACGAAACTTAGTGAGTTCCCCCATCATACCACATACCATACAATAAACATATTGTCAAGCATATCTGGGTGCCCGACATACCCTGCTGAGCATACCTAGGTGCTCAACCTACCCATGTCAGACATACCGGGGTGTCCGACCTACCCCTGTCAGGCATACCTGGGTGCCCGACCTATCTATGTCAAGCATATCTGGTGCCCGACCTACCCTCCGGTTTATGGCGACTATTTCACCCCTACTACTACCACATAATAACATAGCATAAACATACTATTAGACATATATGGGTACTAGCCTACCCCTTCGGTCTCTTTCAACCGGCAACTGGGGACTATTTCACCCCTCCTACCACTATCACATAATATCATATTATACTAGCACATAAAGTATAACAGATAGTGGCATACCTGACAATTATCACAAAGACAATTATATCTACTATAATCACCTACTAGTGGGCCGACATTGGTGCCTTAGACCCACTTCTACTGGAAGGTAACTCACTTCGATAACTAGAAGTAGCTGCAAAAACTTCGGCTCTGGATATCACCCGACTAAAGCCCCTATACATAGAAGATTTCCTTTAATTCCCTTTTCATACTCATAACCAACTTAAGGGTCAACTTTGGTCAAAGTCAAAGTCAAAGTCAACATTTTGGTCAAAGTCAACGTTCTGGTCAAAGTCAACCTTCTGGGTTGACTCAACTCGCCGAGTTGGTCCATCAACTCGCCGAGTTCCATAAATCATAAACCCTGAAATCCCGAACCAACTCGTTGAGTTTCTCATGAACTCGTCGAATTTCTCCTATCACATAATCGGGACTTTCCAACCCCACTCGTCGAGTCCGTCCTGAACTCGTCGAGTCTTTCCTTTTTCAGAATCGGGGCACTTCGACCCAAATCGTCGAGTTCCTTTTTGAACTCGTCAAGTTCTTCAGTCTGATAAGCTTTCGTAATGGATTAAGTCGCTAATCCTCAGATCTAGGCTCCATTCTTCAAATATAGACTGGAAATGTCCTTAGAAGGGTAAAGTTTTGAACTTTACCCGTTAATACCTTTCCTCAAGATATATAGCTCAAACCCTCACTCTAAAAGATCTACATCTTGATCCAAAAGCCATCAATACCACAAGATAGGGTGTACAAACAGAGATCTGAACCTTAGAGACTACGTGAGCACGTAAAGTCTATGACTTTCTCTCCATGCATGGCCTTTTCCGGCTCAAAAGGCCAAAATGATATCCTAAAGCTTGCATGGGGCTTTAATGGCCATAAAGTTTTCACCTTTATGCCATGAAAGCCCTTCTAGACCCTAGATCTGAAAGGGTATTCACTTGGGACATCCAAGTCCCAAAAGCTAACATTCTTGGACCAAAATATGGAGAAAATTCCCTAAAACTAGATCTAAGCATATGATAAACAAGGTAGGAGATTTATACCTTTGATGAACCAGAAATGAAGATAGACTTCTAGATCTACTCTTCTCCAACACTTCCTTGCTTCTTCTTCAAGTATCTTCTTCTTAAAAATCACAAGAATGCACCAGGATGGCTCAAAATTCTAAAAAAAATGTATTAGGGTTTCGTGGCTAGGGTTTGGGACGATGGAGGCTGTAAATGAGGCCAACCTTTGGAGGTTAAGGTGTTTAAATAGGGTGCAAAACCCTGAAAATTAGGGTTTCACTCTGCCAGTCCTACTCGTCGAGTTGAGGCTCTCAACTCGTCGAGTAGACTTTACATCTCGCGTCCAAATTCAATTCCTACTCGACGAGTTTGGGGCCTCCAACTCGTTGAGTTTTTTGAACAAAAGTGAATAGTTTTGATTTAAAATACATACCAGGAACCGGGCGTTACAAATCTCTCCCACTTATTTCAGACTTCGTCCTCGAAGTCTGTTGCGTCTGGAAATAGCTCTGGGTAGTGCTCCCTCATCTCATCCTCCGGCTCCCACGTCCATTCCGAGCCCTTGCGGTGCTGTCACTGCACCTTCACCAACTCTACCCTCTTGTTCCTCAGATCCTTCGTCTTCCTATCGAGAATGGCTACTGGCCTCTCGATGTGGTTCAGGCTGTCATCCACCTGAACATCCTCTAAAGGTACAACCACAGAGTCATCCACTAAGCACTTCCGCAGCTGGGAGACATGAAAGCTGTTGTGGATCTGACTAAGCCCGGCTGGTAATTCCAGTCGATACGCAACCCGGCCCACCCGGGCCAATACCCTGAACGTACTAATGCGTATGGGGCCCAAATTACCCCGCTTCCTAAACCGGATGAAACCTTTCTATGGTGACACCATCAGGAGGACCATATCTCCTCTCTGGAACTCTAGGTCTGATCGACGTCTGTCGGCGTAGCTCTTCTGCCGACTTTGGGCTGTCTGGAGTCTACTCCGGACCTGCTGGATCTTCTCTGTCGTTTTGAGTACCACTTCGGTACTCCCCATGACTCTATGTCCAACCTCACCCCAACATATCGGGGTTCTGCACTTCCTCCCATATAGTATCTCGAAGGGAGGACGATCGATGTTGGCGTGGTAGCAATTATTGTAGGAAAACTATGCTAAGGGAAGGTAGGTATCCCAGCTACCACCAAAGTCTAAAACGCACGCCCGCAGCATATCCTCCAAGGTCTGGATGGTTCGCTCGCTCTGACCATTCGTCTACGGGTGTAAAGTCGTGCTAAAGTGTAGACGAGTATCCAACTCTTCATGAAATTTCTTCCAGAATCTGGAAGTGAACCGTACATCTCGGTCAGAAATCACGGAAACTGGCACACCTTGACGAGCTACTACCTCCCTGATGTAGATGTCAGCCAGCTTCTCAGCCGAAATGCTCTCCTGAATCAGAATGACATGGGCACTCTTGGTTAACCGATCCACGATGACCCAAATCGAATCCACTCCCCGCGCGGTCCTAGGAAGCTTTGTGATGAAATACATCGTAATATCCTCCCATTTCCACACAGGGATATCCAACGGCTACGTCTTGTTGTGAGGCCTCTGGTGTTCGGCCTTGACCTTCCTGCAGGTCAAGCACCTCTCAACGTACCTGGCTACATCCCGCTTCATGCAGGGCCACCAGTAATCAGGACGAAGATCTCTATACATATTCGTCGCCCCGGGATGGATAGAAAACCTGGATTTGTGCGCCTCCTCCATCAGAACTTGGCGCACACCTCCGTGATATGGAACCCACACTCTACGATGGAGTGTCAACAGCCCGCGGCTATCATAGTCGAACGAGGAAATCTAACCCACGATACGCTCACTCTTCCGGTGTTCCTCCTTTATAGCCTCTTGCTGATCCTCCCGAATCTACTCCAATAGAGGAGTCGCCACTGTCATCCTCAGACAGATGTCTCTGATCGGGGCCGCGAATGCCTTGCGGCTAAGTGCATCGGCCAAAACATTGGCCTTTCCTGGATGATAAAGGATCTCATAGTCGTAATCCTTCACCACGTCCAACCATCGCCACTGTCTCATGTTCAGATTTGGTTGGTCCATCAGATACGTCAGGCTCTTGTGATCCGTGTAAATGGTACAACAGACCCCATAGAGGTAGTGTCGCCAAATCTTGAGATCAAAAACAACTACCCCCACCTCCAGGTCGTGCGTCGGGTAATTCGCCTCGTGAGGCTTCAACTACCTCGAGGCGTAGGCGATGACATGCCCTCTCTTCATCAACACTGCGCCCAAACCCGAGATGAACGCATCGCAATATACTACAAAATCCTCAACGACCTTTGGGAGGGGTAGGATCGGCGCCTTGCACAACCTTTGCCTCAAAGTCTCGAATGCTTC